TTTGTTGCTCCAATCTCTTGCTATTATACAACAACAAAAAAACTCAAGCTTGAGTTGAGTTTTCCCAAATAATAATAATCTATACTTCCCCCAAAAAATAAAGCCTACACATATAAAAGAATCCGTGACTGACTCCTAAACCAAATTTCGTCACCTCTATCTCACACACAATGCATTTAGCAACACGTGACCGAGCATCAAATCCACGAAGTACTGATGTCCGATCTCACCGTCCCTCCACCGCATTTTCGCTGGAGCTCTTCCGTAATGAACCCCGTCGTTGCATCGGTTATCGTAATGCCATGGATACGTCATATCAAAATTATCCACCACGCTTGTGACCAATCCTGCATTCCTCATTTTCTCAAGGAACACGCCGTTAAACGCTTCCATTTTGCTCGGGTTGAACGCTAGCGTCCTAGCGTAACCGCCCGTAGCGATTGTGTTCCTGAAAATGACTTCAGGCGGTTGCAATCCCCTGTTTTTGACCCCGTCGAAAACTTGTCTCCAAAACGTAGCTGCGGTTTCCGCGCCTTTCACAAAGGCTCTAAGATTGGTCCAGTGAATCCCGTCGTGTAGACCCGAGTTCACGACCATAGCATCGGGAACGCGGTCTTCCGAGAAGTATTTCTTGAGCAATTCTCTAAAGTCGCGGTCTTTAAGCGAATCGAGGCCTTGATAGTTCTGTGTCTCGTTCCAATGACCGTTGAAGATACTGGTGATCCTAACTGTTTCCGACGGATTCTTCGGATTAGAAAACTTCATATCGAACCTCCTCGGGACAGCAGGGATTTCCGGATGACCCAAGACGAAATTCAGCAAGTTTCTGATCGAATCGACGTGATTCGAATCTCCCCAGAAGAAAATCCACTTGTTTTTCAAGCAATCCCAAGCCGTATCACCAGAGAACAGCTTGAAAGAACAATGACTGGAGTATACCCAACCATTGCTCTCAATGGCTCCAACCGCTCCATCGCACCACGGTTTCCGGCACGGGAAATCCGCGGCGAGGCAATGGTAACGCCCATCATTGCTGATCTCGCATTCATCGTTCTTCCCGAGCCTGGTCCATCGTCCGGACCAGACATCTCTGTTGAAATCGGATCTTTTACATGACCGAAGCTCCGGCAGAGTGACGTCATTCTTCTTCACGAAACGTAACCGGACGTTTCGAAGCTTCCGGTCGAAGCCTAAACGCGCGGTGCTGAACTTAAGACCTTGGTAATGTCGGAAGAGCAAAATGACGGTGAGATTGAATTCTCCGGCGAACTCAGGATGAACCTGTAACGACATTGAGTAAGTTCCGTTGCCGAAATCTTTGACCGGCGGTCTAGATTTCCAATTCTCGCCGGATAAATCAGTCTCGAAATAGTCCCCACCAATGCAAACCGGTTTCCGAGATTCGTCCAACGCTTGGAACTGAAACTCGTGGATCTCTCCGGCGGTTAACTCTAACAACGAATCAATCCCGTCGACACGAGGAACAGAAATCTCGACGGTTTTCGCTTCCCTGCACGGTGCTCCTCCTGGAGCCAACCAATTTCTCATCAAATTCGCCGTGAAATTCTTCTCCAACTCGGCGGTAATCCACCCGGGTTGGATCCGGGTCGGGTTTAAAGTGAGATTCGTCTTATTCGGATCCAGATTTCTTAAACCCGTCTCCGTGGTTGTGTTCAGAGTGAGATTTTGTCGGTGGGGTTTCGGTGACGGAATGGGCGAAGGAGCAGGAGAAGGATTGACTCGAAGGGAAGAGTATGCATTGATTCTCCATGGCTCGACGAAGCTTTGGATTGAACAACCGTCAATGCTCCATACGACCAACACGAGGAAGAAGACAAGTGCTGTAAGAGCACCAAGCCGCCATTGAAGCAGAGGACTTGGCCGTAAAATCATCAATTGGGTAGGTACCGGAGACAGAATCGCTCCTTTCTCCGGCATCTGAAGATCCCGACAGAAAACAAAAACCCAGAAATGAGAATTCAATCTAAGAAAGAAACAAAAACTAGAAATCAATTTCACGACAAGACAATTTCCAAGATTTGTGCCTTTTTTTCTTTTCTTTAGTAAAGTATACGTTTTTAAGATTCAAAAATCTCAGCTTTAAATATTTAACATTAAACTTACTCTAAATGATTCCAATGATGGGTAATTTCTCTCGTCTGCACGAATATAGCCGAACTCGT